CTTCTGGTGGACTTTGGCTAACTCCTTGTCCTTTGATTTCTAAAGTATATGGAATCGTGTATATGTGTGTGTGTGTATGTGTGTGTCTGCGCGCGCGCGTGTGTGTGTGTGTTAGAGAGAGAGATCAAGACTACACAAATCTAAAAATATAAGCATACATACATTACCTACTTAACAATAGCTTGTACATACACACATACAATAGCGACACACTGGAACAAGTCGCAGGGGTAAACAAGAAACAAAACCCTTGACTTAATTCAGTGCTCTTCTTTTAGCAACTGTATAACATCGAGCTGTACGAACTGCTTGAAGGTGTTTTCCTTTTATGATATTTTTGTCTCTGATTAAACTTCTTAAACTCTGAATTTATAATAGGATGTATTTCAGCTTATGGTATAAAAGATGGGTTAGATTATGATTAAAGTGAGAGATCAAGGGTGAGGGAAAATAGCGAAGAAAAATTACATTGTCGAAGCAGAGAAAAAAAATAATAATTAGCTATAAATAACATTCAAGGATGAATAGACGAGGAGACAAAGGGAAGCATAAAACGTGGTCTCCCGGTCACCCATCTTGCCTGCTCTTTGTTCTTTTCAATCCCAGTTTTCATCATACAAGAACAGCCATGATAAACCCCCGCCCATTTACCTGTGGGCGGCGACGTGACCAGCTCGTTCACCTACCAGGAGGAGGAGGGGCGTGACGGAGATCCAGGCGACGTACCAGAACATCCCTACGGCCTTCTTGGTCATCATCTGAAGGTCCCGCACGGCTCGGCCCGCCCCTGCAGCACGGGGAAGGAGGCCTCAGTTGCAAATGGTGCAAGTCAACTTTTATGGTTTGATATTAGGCTAGACCTAGAAAGTGGATGCATATGTATGTTAGCACACACACACACATACGCGCGCACACGCACGCGCATATGTATGTGTGCACATATATATCTGTGTGTGTGTGTGTGTATACTTACTTATAGATATACATATATACATATATATATATATATACATATATACACATATATATAGGTAGATAATGTAAATAGATAAATATACAGATAGATAGATAGGTAGGTAGGTGGGTAAGTAGGTAGATAAATAGGTAGGTAAATAGATAGATATAAACATATATACATGTTTATATGCGCGTACTGAGAGAGAAGGAAAGGGTACATTGACACGAGTCTCACACCCATATACTTACCATATATATAAGAAAACACGATGAGTTCACACAGTCCCGCAAACACCACCGTGATAGAAGCTGAGTACCAGTCGAGCAGCAGCAGCACGTACATCCCGCCCTGGCACAGAAGGAGGAGGAAAGACTGAAAAGGGTGGCAGCGTGTACTGTGCGTTTTTATAATCTAAATGAGGTAACCAGAATCTGTGCAGAAAGAAGGAAAATGACATTCCGATATTTGTTGTCCTGTTTAGTTTTTTTTTTTCTTTTCTTTTCTTTCTTTCTTTTTGTTTCTTGTGAAATCTAATTTCCTACCTTGTCAATAGAAAAAAGGGAGAAAAAAAATATATAGTTTCTCATGCAATCCACTAAGCGCAGAATATTGCCGATTCATCAAATTGAATGAATATTCATGAGTCATTTAATAAAAACGAAACCGAAGTAGAGGATCGGCGCGGACGGCCAGCCTACCCTCGTGCAGCAGGAGAGAGCGCCGAGGAACATGAGCGCGCACGCCGCGAACGTGACCCAGCCCTTCCTGGCGCGGAGAACAGGGAACTCGTCCACCACAGACGTCACCAGGTTCTCGATCTGCACGAACTGGGGGGGAAGGAGACCCGGCGTTTTTCTCTGTTTGTTCTCTTTTTATGTCACGTTTTGTGCTTGAACATTCATTTATATGCTTACATTTATATATATATATATATATATATATATATATATATATATATATATATATATATATATATATATATATACGTATACATACATACATACGTGTGTGTGTGTGTGTGTGTAAAGTAAACAAGTGAACGAGATTCCGAAAGGCTAAACTCACGATGGAGTCGATGCCGAGGAAGAAGAGCATGAGGAAGAAGAGGACGGCCCAGAGCGGCGCGAAGGGCATGAGCGACAGCGCCTCCGGGTACGTGATGAACGCCAGGGCGGGACCTGCAAGGCAAGAGCTTTTAGTCCTTCGAGACTCAAGTGCCTCATCTGAATTACAAGAGATGATCACAGGGAAATAACACAAACCTTCACCTGGAATCAATTACTGGGGTCGGATTCTCAAAAGAGCCTTAGGCCCGTACTTTTAAAACCTTTCGCTAGTGCTGGCGTTCGTCTGGCGAAGCTACGCCAGGCGAACCTCTGAGTGAGGGAGGCCTTACTTTTAAACCCAACGTTCGCCAGGCGGGCGAAGGGATCGCCAGGCGCTAACATCTTGCATTCCTGCTAAATCTAGCGCAAATTTATTTACATCTGCAGTGCACATAACATAACCTAAACTTAATTATTAACCTCGAGAGAAGACAAAAATGTTGTCTCCGTAATAGTCTCACTTTATACTTTAAGAAAGGAGTTAAAAATTATCTTTAAACTATAAGAAGTTTAACTTTATGCTATACTATACTTTATACTATAACAAGGTTAACTTTATGGCCCGTACTTTTAAAACCTTTTGCCAGTTCTGGCGAAAGGTTTCGCCGGGCGATCGGGAATTTCGTACTATTAAAAGTTCTCCAGGTGAACTTTCGCCAGGGCTGGCGAACGATCGTATTGGAACAGCCTGGCGAAGCAAAGTCGCGAGAGCCCTCCCTTTCCCGTGTTTAAAAAACCATTTTCTTGCTTTCAAATTATAAATTAGTCACATATTTTTATACGATATGATGTAGGAATCACACTGTAATTCTAAAATATCTTAAAATTATAATTCATTATGAAATAACGTATATACGTAGTTTTTCAAGACCTTCGATGTTCCAGTCGAGAGCTCAAGACATCAGCTGTATTCCTTCCCCCAACCCCAACCCTCCCACCCCCGAGATGACTTATTTAGATTTATGTTGTTGTTATTTTGGTTGTAGTGATAATTTTCTTTTCACAAGTGTTACCAAAAGTGTTTTGATGATGGCATGTTTACTACCAGCTATAGAAATATAGCTGCAGCGCTCCACCGCCCTATAATGAGGCGTGTCTATCCTAACCTAACCTAATCTAACCCTTGTAGCCCAACAGTTAACTATTTTATATCGGTTAGGTATAGTAAAATGATTAATTTTTAACTCCTTTGTATAAAGTGAGGCTATTACGGATGTAACATTATCGTCTTCTCCCTAGATTAATAATTAAGCTTATTTTATGTTAGGTAAGGTAATAATATAATATCAGGTGATATGATATAAGTAAGGGAAGGTAAGGTAAATCAATATAAAAAATCCCTGTTCTGTGCCAACAATATATATTTACTGATATGTTTATATAACGCACTGCAGATGTAACAAATTTGCGTTTCCCGCGTTTTTTTTTATTCGCCGAAGCGCTAGATTTAGCAGGAATTCAAGATGTTAGCGCCTGGCGATCCCTTTCGTTCGCCAGGCCTGGCGAACACCTGCCTTGGGTTTTAAAGTAAGGCCTCCCTCACTCAGATGTTCGCCTGGCGAAGCTTCGCCAGGCGAACGCCAGCACTGGCGAAAGGTTTTAAAAGTATTTAATACTATACTATATCAACTTTATACTCTTATACAAAAAATAACTTAATACTTTAACAAAGGAGTTTAAAAATTACCATTTTACTATTCCTAACTGATATAAGATATTGAACTGTAGGCCTACAAGGGTATCATTAGTCACGCCTCATTACAGGGCGGTGGAGCACTACAGCTATGTTTCTATAGCCCAAAGCAAACATGCCAACATCAAAACACTTTTGGTAACACTTGTGAAAAGAAAATTATGCAACCAAAATAGCAACAACCTAAGTCATCTCGGGTGTAGGGGGTGGGGGTTAGGGGGAAGGAATACAGCTGTCTTGAGCTCTCGACAGGAATATCGAAGGTCTTGAAAAAACTACGTATATACGTTATTTCATAATGAATTATGATTTTAAGATATTTAATTACAGTGTGATTCCTACATCATATCATACACAAATATGTTACTAATTTATAATTTGAAAGCAAGAAAATGGTATTCAAACAGCTCTCGCGACTTTGCTTCGCCAGGCTGTTCTAATACGATCGTTCGCCAGCCCTGGCGAACACTTGTCATAGTTTTAATGGTACGAAATTCCCGATCGCCCGGCGAAACCTTTCGCCAGCACTGGCGAAAAATGTCACTGAAAAATGTCATTTATGGTTCGCCGTAACTCGCTAAGGTTGCTCTCTCCCTGCCTTAACGCAAGGCGCCTTTACTCGCACCAATATGGCGGTTCCCTTGCTCTGTGAATGGGTCGTAAGATCGTTCGGCCGTAAGTTACGGCGCCTTAACGAGATACGATACGGTTTGAGAATCCGGCTCCTGAACCACAAACCCTCTCCTGAACTAACCAGCGGCCGTGACACTATCCACGGAGGTGCCGGTCTTGTGCGCCATGAACCCGAGGACGGAGAACACCACGAAGCCGGCGAAGAAGGAGGTGGCGCAGTTGAGGACGGGCACGAAGAGGGCGTCGCGGAGGCAGTTGTTGCGGAACTTGTTGAAGGAGCCCAAGGTGGCCAAGGAGCCCCATCCTGTGCCGATCGAGAAGAAGATCTGAACCGCCGCGTCCGCCCAAACCTGGGGGATTTCAGGGAGGTCGTGTATAAAGGTGAACTTCCTGTTTTGGAACGCTGAACGTGAGTGATGAGAAGTATTTGAAATGGATGATTTTTTTTTATTTATTTATCTCGTGAGTCCGAAACTATATATCGAATCTCTTTAACGAATGTAGAAAATGGATGAATGAAAACGTGTAGATTGATAATGCAAGAATTGTAACTGACGCGACTGGATGCCATACCTTACTTTGTGAAATACGTTCTTATATATAACTTTTC